CCTGCTGCCCTCTACCTCTTTGAGACACAACATAATTCAGTTCTTCCCAGTAGGACACCCCACGCCTACTGGGATTCTTGTTTTCCCGCGACAAACAGACTGGTTTGAAGCGGGATGTTGGTTTGATGAAACTTTCGCGCCTTACGGAGGAGATAACGAGTCCGAAGGTGAAAACCCCGTCGGGTGTTTGAACGCTGCTCGGCAGCTCGAAACTCTCCCTCCTATAGCTGAGATCTATTGGGTCAGACCCGCGCGGCGAGCTCTGAGGGCGTGCATTCCGACCAAGTCGTGCCGACTTAAAGTTGCATTCGGCATTCAATGACACATTCACCGCTCCTTCAAAAGAAGACGGATGTACACAGAAGACTTTCATTCTGGCCAAGCGAGTGCGGAGGCCGTCCATAAAAAGTCACTGCGATCGTTTCGGGGAGAGGATCGACTGCCATCCCGGCAATGAGAGCTCGTAACTCTTGAACAAAGGCCACCAATTCCTTCTTGCCTGGTTGGGCCACAAGGAAATGCGATCGCACGCGATATGCCTGGTTAGGTGGCGAGAACACTCGCAACATCTGACGCTCCAGCTCCTTCCAGGAAGGCAACGCCGCTTGAATCGAAGCACCGCACGATAGTGCCCATTCTTGCTCTCGGCCACCGAGCTCGAAGATAGCTAGCGCAACGCGCTATTGCTTGTTCTGGAGCATGGCAAATGCCGTAGCCATCTCGGCCTCTCTTACCCAGAGCAGGAGATTCGTCCATCCTTACCCTCAAAGGTCTTAACGCTCACCATGAGTGGCCTGGGTCGGGAAGAGTCATCCGTCGTCGACGGTGGCTTCATGGACGCAGTCAACGCCGACCTATTCTGCTCTAGGTGCCCTAGCAGAGCATTTTCATAGCTCGAAAGCGCCTGTTGGCGCGCGCTGATCGCTTCAGGACCTTGCGAAGCGAGGTGTTGCAAGCTCTAAGGGTCAAGCAGAGACATCAGATTTTTAAGCCGGTCCTCCATGCAATTATTATTCCTCTATCGTAACAGAAGATCAGTCGTATCGACTCAGGCGAATATTGACTACGAATGCTACCAAATGCAGCGGGACTGCTGTAGCTCTTTGCTTAGAGGAAGCTAAGTGAAGGTCACCGACCTAATGTTCTTTACAAGAACCAGTTCGAGTGTAGTGGATCACAATTCGCTCCCTCCAAGTACTACGAATTTTAACCAAGATAAAGGAACTCTTTTGTTTAATATTAAAACCGTATTTAATTGTTTAGTTGCGGCAGAGTTGCCAATATCTAAAATCCTAGATTTTTCAAATTATAATAGTAATATATAATCAATGTTGCAAAGCCTACTTAATATAGTTATACGCATTACTACTGGCAGTCTTGCCACGTGTTATGGCACTGTGTGATTACACTAACTTGTGTAATCCACACCTATGTATGGTAACATAAGATAGTGCGGCCCGCCCTTTCGTACAAGGGTACGTGTAACCTCGTTACTCCATGAGGTACAATAAATTCTTTTCAGGCCACCCTGCACCATCTGGGACTTGGCATTGGTCATGAAATCATCGTCGCCCGCCTTTGCGTAAAAATTTGACTTTTGTGCCTCTCAGTCGTCAGCGACAGGGACACGCAAAGCTCAGGCTCATCGTGCTGCCACAGATGAAACATATCAAAGTACTGTGCAGCTGCTCAGAGCCTAAGAGATCATTCCTTCTCATCTAACATTGCTGAGGTTCACTGCCCTTTACCGGACCCATCGAGCTTTCACCTCCGGTACCGTTTCTGTCCAATGCGGCAGAAAAGCTGTATACCTCATTCTTTGGAACACATACCGCTTCCTCAAAGAGATAATTTGGCGACGTAAGGTCTCAGCGCTAGAAGCACCCGCTAGGGTACTCTTTATTATGATGGTATTGTTACTGCCTCAAGGAGAGGGTCTGACGCCATCGCTGCGATGCGAAATCGTATTCTTAGGACACATTGTGCCTCCCTTAACGAGCGAGCATGAAAATTGAAACGCACCCTATACCCCTGGTTAAGCGGTGCGAGCATCCGTTGCATATCTCGCTATGAATATTATTTTAATGTTTTTAACGCCTCGCACAATGGTAATGCGCGTTAGTACTTATTTTCGCACACGACCTTTAAACCTGGAAACCGCAACCGCGACGCGCAATTGCTCCATCTAACGCGTGACCAAACTTATGGCCATCTCAGTCTTCCTTATCCAGGAGTTGATGTTTGCCCATCCCTGCCCGCAAAAAGTTGGATGCCCATGGTCAACGTCAGCGGCCTCACGGTGGGTGCTACTGTGCTCTCACCGACGCCCACTTGCGGCGCTTCTGTAGGCGCTTCACCAATTACCGCATCTAGCCTTGAGCCGCTAGTTCTCTAACCCCCTTTGCGACATTAATCGACTTAGGTTCTTTAAGCGTATCTAGATATTCCGGCGGCAGGAATCAAAGAACCCACGCTATATCCCAATTATGATACAATCTTTCCACGAATCGATTGCAGGGTTGACTATAAGTGATGTTAAGTGCAACCAAGTTGTCGTGCATTTTCCACAGAAAAAGCTTCGAGTAGACGCATCATCAAACATACACGAATTGTCGTTCGCACGCTCCACCCAGGAGTGGAGCCGAGATCATTCATCGTAACTAGTTGCCTAGCTGCTCGCCATCTCAAGCGTGACATATTATACGTACTTCTGTTTGGAGTGATACTATAACTACATATTACCATGTTTCATTTTAATACTAATTCATTAGTGAACTTGAGGCTTACAGCCCACATAAATGGCGGATATCTCTCTTACAGAATTTTATCATTGCAGCGGGGCTGCCGTTGCTCTTTGCTTAAAGGAAGCTTACCTAAGGTCACCGACCTTCGTTCTATACTAGAACCAGTACGAGTGTAGCGGATCGCAATCCGCTACCTCCAAGAGTACACAAAATCTTAACACAGGGCAAATGTACACTTCTGTTCTATTTTATATACTGTATTTATCTGTTTTATTCTCGGCAGAGCCGCATATATCTTAATCTAAAGGTTTTCCTGATAAAAGAGTAAAGCCTACTTCATATGCATAACTACTGGCAGTCCCGCCACGTAGTGGCTTCTTCTTACGATGTAGCCAAATCATGGCGTGATTACACCGACTTGTGAATTACCACGTTTTCACGTCCACACCATCTTGTGTGACCCACCCAGGGTACGTGTAACCCCGTTACATAATCATAACTACCAAAGTGCCGGTACTTACAAAATACTCAGAATTACACAAAATTATAAATGTAATTTGCGCGGTTGTGCAATGTACAATGTACATAAATGTAGAGTCTATTTTTAGTACACAATAGACTTTGTTACATAAAATGGTGTAAAATCCATACTGTAGCGTATAAATATTTGGATTCACAAGGCAGCATTGCAATGTTATGATGACATCATTAGATGCAAGTACGGAAAAAGGATTACGTAAGAAGGAATAGGGCAATGTTTATACGATACAGTAAAGCTTTTCATTTATATTAACAATGACATAGACATCTTTGTATATATTACCCTATTCCTCCGATGAGAAAGTATTTCTGCTTGATGAGAGATGTCATAATAAGACGTAAACAAATTCTCGGAGAAAGGTAATCAAAAGTAATATTGTGTGTAAATCAATAGTACACTTTCACTTGCATAGAAACCGACAGATACGCTTTTCAAGATTTCGTGAAATTTAGTCGATCGATAGAGCAGATTTTGCCATGTTCACACTCCTTCTGATTTGTAATACCACCACCTACCTCGTAGTGGTAAACAGCCTAAATATTTTTTACTACAACCTAGACATTATTGTTGGAACCTTTCTTTGAAACTCTTCATGTTTCTTTGGCCTTCCAACTGGAAATTCGTTCTAGAAAAACAATTTTAAAATATTGTAAATGCCTGCTACTTGCACCACCACACTCTCTTGTTACGCAAACTCAACCACAGGCTAAAGTGTAGTATGGAGTATTTGACTCTTAGGCTTCCTCGGATTCAGCCATTTATTTTGTTTTGGCTCAACGTGATCGAGCGCTATCGCACATTCTTATTAAATTTGGAAGCCAGCGCGAATATCTTGAAGTAACTGGGTCCCGCTCTATGTGCTCACTTAAGTCGTTCATCGCATGAATTGAATGAAAGGCTTGTCCTATTGTATGAATCTATGTATCTACTTCCCTACCGAGAACATGTTTGATGCATCATCTTCCCGAAGAAAGAGTCCAGAATATAGACTGGTGGCTGGCGACGTCAACGATAGATTTGGGACTTTTATTCGGTACATGGGACTTTTGATGCCGTAGAATCATGTGTAAACATTTGGTACATCCATACAAAAACCTGACACTTGTACCTAGGAGTTGTACTCAAAAAGGTCTTTTAATATTCCTCTTATATAATTTATGTAGCTGTTTACGCCTGCGCTGACTGAAACTTTCTTCTCCTGTACATAACTGCTGACAATCAATCACCAGAGCAACGTTTAAATGCTCGGAAGGATTATAGCAAAAAGTTGTTGTATATAAATCTCTATATGGATTTCACATACTTTAAATAGTTAGGCAAAAAGCTCTAGGTGTACAGTAGCTTTGCCTTAAAATTCCACCAAGTTTCTTAGGATTTTGGTCATCATTACGTTTGATTAATGTCGCTTTGGGTAAATTCTTCATCCCAAAGCTCATATGTAGAGCCTTCGTTCATACGTCAAATATCATCTATAGAGTTTCATTGGGCTAACCAGAGCAAACAAAATCCATGACGATGGCTGCGTCGTCCACAAATTGCCAGCTTACGCCAGACTTATATGTCAAATTCTTGACGAGGATAGGGTTGAGCTCCTGGTCTCAGTCGTAAACCTCAATACAATTAGATGAGCTAAATGACTGTCGTATTTTGGCATGCGACGAAGCGTTACATGCGGCACGAGCGGCAGTTGCCAGTTTTTCTTTATACCTTGAACGATGCCACTATCCGATCACTCAGGTACGGATTACGTCGCTGTTCAAGACGCGAGTCCTAGTATTGACATGTACGGCTCGACTTCAAACATTCTGGTCCTACCCGATGTCTCTAAGCAGGACACGCATGCTGATGTTGCAGCATTGCGTGCTAGCTTCGCCACGGGCGCCACAAAAGACCTTAAGATGCGCAAGTCGCTGCTACGAGCGCTTCAGCGGCTCTTGAATGAAAATGAGGCACTCATTAATGACGCCGTTTGGAAAGATCTACATAAGCATCCAGCCGAGATGTCTGCCATGGAAACTGCGCTTCTTTTAGCTGAAATCCAACTTTTTATTGACTACATTGACGATTGGTCCAAGCCTAAGCTCAAGCCTACTAATATCGTAAACTTACCAGGCTTATCGTATGCTCGACCCGAACCGCTGGGAGTCGTCTGCATCATAGGCGCGTGGAACTACCCGGTGCATTTGTTGCTGATGCCACTGATAGCCGCTTTAGGAGCCGGTAATTGCGCCATCGTACGGCTTCCGGGTGACGACACAACGCGCAATGTAAACAACGTGCTGCTTCAGTTATTTGATAAATATATAGACAAGCGCTACGTGCGTATTGTTTACGGAGGTGTTGAGGAGACTAAAAAGATGCTACAAGAACGATACGACTTAATTTTCGCCACCGGTGGCACTTTTATGGGCAAGATTGTGGCTCAAGCTGCGGCGCTGCACTTGACGCCTATAGTCCTGGAGCTAGGAGGAAAGTCTCCATGTATAATTGACAACACGGCGGATTTGAAGCTGGCTGCAAAGCGTGTTGCTTGGGGGTCCTTTATCAATGCAGGACAAACATGCGTTCGTCCTGACTATTTACTAGTGGACGCCAAAGTGGGCGATGAGTTTATAAAATTGTTAAAAGTAGAATTAGATGCGCAGTTTGGAGGTCCAAATGTGAAGGAGTCAGACAGCTTTGGTCGTGTGGTCAATCAGCGCATGTACGATCGTCTTGTGCGTATCTTGGACAAAGATCAGAAGCATGTGATATATGGAGGCGACACTGACGCCAAGCAGCTTTTTATTTCTCCGACACTTTTCAACTTTCGCTCTGATTTCGACTCATTTGTGTCCAGTGCGTCGATGGAGGCTGAAAACTTTGGCCCATTACTGCCAATTTACTACTATGCTTCTGGTAATTTGGACGAGCCCATCAAATTTGTTACGTCACGGGAGAAACCGCTTGCTCTGTATTATTTTAGCTCTAAATCCAAGAACAAGGAGCGCGTAGTGAACGAGACGTCATCTGGTAGTATGATGGTAAATGACATGCTCACACAGCTATCAAATCCAGACGTTCCATTCGGAGGCGTTGGTTGTTCAGGCATGGGGGCGTATCACGGTCACTACGGCTTTCAGGCCTTTTCGCACTTAAAGACTGTGATATATAAGAATGGGCTGCTTGATTTGCCTCAACGCTACCCACCTTACACTCCGTCAAAGCAATATGTTCTGAGTATGGCTTTGTATCCATTTTCACGGCTGCAGATGCGGCTTGTAAAGGCAATTGCTTTCGCTGTGGTGCTTGCCGTAATCGCAATCATCATTAAAAATGTTTCTTAATGTGTGTAGCATGTCAAATTGATTCCAAATTCACTTAGTAATTTCATTACGTATTGTAATATTGAAAATATTCAAAAGATGCTTTCGATGCTTGTGAAGACGCTACTTACAGTCTTTATTTTCTACTACACCTTTCTCACTGTTTTGACCACTTTTGGCTTCCTTTGCCCCTCCACTGTCTTTGACATCGACTGAAATCTTTTCGTCCTTACAATATTTCCGCTTCCCACAATCATTTATGTCACTTTCACAGAATTTTGAGTCCGCGCGAGTGTTTTCGACCGATGCGCGTGCCCGCATGGCCTTCATCAGACCGTAAAATGCATTGTAGTCCATGGATGCAATAACAATTTCAAGATATTGCTCTGCCTTTGGGTCAACCTTCAAAGCCTCTCGGCAATGCTCAACAAACTCGTCGTCAGTCACTCCTTGTTGCGTCAAGAATACTGCTCCAACACAATCATGAGATTATATGAGCTATATTTTTTATTTTTTGATGTAATACGCACTCTTCATGTGCTCATTGAACATTTGCTGGAACTCAACGTAGATGGTCATATATTCAAGCTGATGCTCCAGATCGTCTGTGAAGCTAAGGGCATGATCAAGGAAGAACTGCTCAAACTGACGCTGAAATTGTGTAGCCTTTATGTACTCTGCCAATGCGCGCACCACAGGATCTTGAATCTTGACGTCCATGGCGACAGCAGGTTATGTGCACAAAAGCTTACACTTTTAAGCATCGAGACTAAAACCGACGCATCAAGAAATAACTCTCGTTGGGCAGTTAACAACGGCTTTACTTTCTAATAATAACTGTGATCTGGTAGAATGTAATTCAATTACGAAAATTCAGCCGCTACCTGCAACATTGCAGACTTACCTGGCAATAAACAAAGTATCGAATATGAAGCATATAATGTGCAATTGCGTACATCTGGAAGATGTACAATTGTGCCTATTACAAATCAAACATGTGTCACATGATACATTTGTGTAACAGCGAATTTTTCAAAAAAATCGGTATTAAGATGAGCGCTGTTAATTTGTACTATAATGGAAATAGAGGTAATACAATATAAATGTCAGTCTGACATAATCCCAACAGCTCAGGCACTAGTTACGGTGTAAGCTCTCCTGGATGGGGCGTAAAAGACCAAAATCTGTGCGGTTACTAACGAGCTGTTTGGGTTTGGGCTTTCTTTGTTTAAAGTGCACGGCATTCAGAGCGGACTCGCTAGCTTAAAGCTGTCACCAGCAATGAAAATGCGCTATTGATATCCGACCAAAAAACACGACCGCTCATATTTTAAAGCCGAGATGAAATATTCGCTCACTCTGGGCGAGAGGACTAGTCATTAATTAGCCGCGCTTCAGACGAAGCAACAGCTCTTTTGCTTGTGATCTCCAAGTGAGGAAGCCGCGCGCGAGAACGGGCAATCATGTGAGGCAACCCTGTGGAAAAGCACTTAAAGATTCGAAACAACAAATCTCAGGGATGTTTGCACCGCCTAACTAGGCGTATCGAGAGCTTTCGAAGTTCGTATCTAATGAATCCACCCGTCAAGTGCTAAGAGAAGTAGCGGTCTTTGTCCTAGAGGTGTAAGATCACATCGCTGTAATGGCGTCGGACCCTACCCGGAGGCAGCAACAATTAGAGGGCCTCCAAAACTATGTACACCAGAATCTTCCGTGTCCACGATGTCTCTTTTAAGAAAGCGGTGGGTGTCACGTTGCGAAGTACAACTTCCGTGCGGCAAGACCTGGATGGGTTACCGAAAGGAAAGCTCTATTAGTACACTTGAGGCAACGAACCTCAGCCATATTAAGAAAGAAGGAGATCTTCAGGCATCAGTGAAGCAACGTGATACTCGCAGATTTCCGGTGTAAGTCAACTGCACCTTGCCCCCCCCTTCGCTCTCGGCTGCGACAAACAAAGGGTTGTGGCTCAGCGCAAGATCTCCCGATGCACCTCTCGTGGAGAAAAGGCGAGGCTGACCAACGTTATCAGAGTAATAAAACGATCTCGTGGAGGTCGTGCCAGCCCCAAAACGATTGAGTTTATCCAAAGAGGAGGGGTAATATTAACAACAAGAAAACCTACAGTTCACTTTGTGTAATTGTAGTTGCTCTCAAGTACCGATATATCAGTATTTATGAAAATGATGGAAAGTCATAAAAAAGACGTCCACGGTACATGTCGACACTTTATTATAAGATGTGGCTAAACGGAAATATCTAGTGTTGGTCCGCATCGAGATAATGCTAAATTTATGTCACTCCCGAAATATCAAGCTAACGTTTGAGACCCCCAGTTCAGCTGCTGGGTCGAGTGAATGAACTCAAACTCTGCGCAGTTGTTAACGTGAATCTTGGGTCGAATCATCTTTGTGCAACATGCACGGCAATCCAGTGCAATGTATATGTAGGCAACACGAAGTATAGCCCCAATTATCTTTGCGAAGAGTGGTCAGAATTTCTGGAATCAGATTTTATATCTCAAATTTGAGCTGAATTCGAGCAAATAAGCACCCACTTGTTTAAAAAGCTCTTTTATAAATGTTATTTCTGCGTTTGTTAACGGGGAAATCGTAGTGTTCAAGCTTTTCGGCACGAGATACAGGAGAATAGTGAAGACTGTCACATCTATCATCTTGTTCTAGAGTGCAAAGTCGGAGTGATGGTCGATGCTCTTGGGGCATGTGTTACGCCTGCTTCACGCAATGAATTATATCGGATCCACTGTTACATATGGTAAAATGTATCAAATCTAATCATCTTGAACTAACACTCGTTAATTGAGGAAGTAAGAGCTACTTGTCCGCATACAAGCGTGGTATAAACAAGAAATTTCAGCATGGAAAAAAACCCAGCGACAGATGTCGTACCTTTTGTATAACTCGGTAAGCCTTACTTGGTGGGGTCTGCAGGGGGAGAAGAAATTACTTTAACCCGTCCAAAAGCTGATAACTTTGATAGTCGAGGTGGATGCTTAGGTGTTACCGTATAACCGAAGTTTCCCAAACAGGCGCGGCGCGCACCGAAATCCTCCGCGTACACACGTCATTTCGCCCAATGCGGGAATTAGCTTCTGATTTACAAGTGTCTGTTGGTGGGCGGGGTGTGAAGGCTCTATGACGCGGTATGACGAGAGTGCTATCTCGGCTCCTGAACAGCACCTTAATATTTTTTGCAGGTGTTGCACCTGCAGATGTACCAGCCATTTAAACCCTGCAGGTCCCCACTACTTCGATAAGAGGAGCAAGGTTGCCGTGCACCTTACACAGAGGCGATTTTATGTAGCAATTCTGCGCTAATAAAGGCATGTAGGACGGTTTGTATACTCTTCCCGGACGTAGAATGCAAAGCTAGTAAAGCAACTAGATAATCTAATGTATTTTCATTTTAATACATTTTTATAGTTGAAATTTTATGTCTTTTTTCAGTGCTCAATAATAAAAAGTACATATAATGCATGACGTGGGACTTAAGACCAATGTCCCGTGGGCTACTTTCTGTTTACGGAGTCCCGATATTCTTATCAGCTCCAGTGCTCTTCCTTGACAGATTGTTATGTGTCCGTACACCGTAATACGGGTACATACCCTGATATACACATATCTTAATGGACAAAAATGTTACACTATAATACTCATACCACACTCGATATGGGAAAAAATATCAGAGTTGGTCCGGGATCAAGCCTTTAACAGTAAGCAGAGAGCGACGAGTTCGGAAGCATTTAAAAAATCGCTGTACTTCTGCGTAAGCCAAAAATGGGCGATCGCAAGACATAACTACCTGGCGCCGAAGTTACGGACGTAAACTAGGGATCATGCAATATATGTTTGTAGATATGAGCTGGTAGTGGGATCTCAGGAACCGCCATCTGAATGAACAGGCATAACCATTTTATAGACACATGTAGCTTTTTTTCGGGCTGCTCAACACAGAGTTGCCAGATACTTGGAACAAAGAGAGTCCGAATCAAAGAGTCTCCGTTAAAAACTGCACAGAGTTTAGATATTTACACCTCACCCAGCAGAAATTAAAATATTTTATTATAACTTAGCTATTACATAGCTCTACCACTTCTAGTGTGGCATATGCTAGAATTATTTATATGCGCGCGAGTACTAGATGTAAGGGTTACGCGTTTCCTTCTACGAAACGGCGGGTCGCACAATCTTGTGCAACCGTACATCGGTTTGT